CCTGAAATTCTTTTCTCCCTTGGCTTCTATAATGCATGACACTCCAACCACTCTACTTTTTCTTAACCGTTTTTACCCTTCAGCTTTCTCCTTTTATTAAATGTTGAGCTGAGCCCCTACTCCTCTCTTTTTACATTCAGTATCTCAATAATCATATTACCTCAGGCATCAATTATCACCTTTATCCAGAATGAATCCTAAGTTTGAAACTGATTTTTAGTCTATATTCACAATGCATCTCCAGTCCAATGTCTCACTGATAGTCAAGATGAATCAAATGGATAAAAATGAATTAATCATTTTTGCTTCTAAGCTTATTCCCTGTTCTTACTATCCATTTCTGCCCAAATGACCAGTCTTTGTGGAACAAATATTTGTCATGAGCCGACACTGCCTAGCACTGTTCTAGGCCCCAGGATTACACTGGTGAAGAAGACAACATCCCTGCCCTCATGGGGCTTGTATTCTAAGGTGTTTATAAGCCAGAAACACAGCAGCTTAGTGCAACCTAAATGTGACCCACACACCAGCAACATCAGCCACACCCAGGAGCTTGGTAAAAATGCAACTTCTTAAGTACCATCTCAGACTACTGAGTCAGATCCTGTGGGGGAGGGGCCCAGAAATCTGTGTTTACCAAGTTCTCCAGGTGATTCAAATTGTATGCTATAATTTGGAAAGCACTGCTCTAGTCATCTGGGACTCCTCCTTCTCTATTCTTTCTATCCATACCTACTGCCTAACCCTGAAAACTGCTCCTTTGGCTTTCCTCAATCCCATTTTAATCCAGAACCTTTTCACCTCATGCTTGGGTTGCTGTGAAATCTCGAAACATGTTTTCTGGCTCCAATCCATACTGGTAATTCTGTCAGATAAAATATACCTATCTAAAACAATTCTTTCACTGACACCAATGATCAAAAGTCTACCATGAATTTTCTATCACCTATTAAAGGAAACAGCTTCTTTTTGATTTACAGAGCTGTATTAGAATCCTAGGGCTACTGTAACAAAGTATCACAAATTGGGAGGCTTAAAACAACAGAAATTTATTCTCTCATAGTTCTGGAGGCTAGAAATCTGAAGTGAAGGTGTTGGCAGGGTGGCTTCCTTCTGCAGGCTCTGAGGGATAACTGTTCCGTGCCTCTCTCCTTGCTTACAGTGACAGCCAGCAATCCTTGTGTTCCTTGTTTTGTAGATGCATTGTTCCAATCTGTCTCCATCTTCATGTGGCTTTCTCCCTGTGTCTGTCTTTTCACATGGCCATCTTCTTATAAGGAGGCCAGTCACAATGAATAAGGGGCCCATTCTAATCCAGTTTGACCTCATCTTACCAAATTACATCTGCAAAAACCCTATTTCCAAATAAGTTACATTCTGAGGTACTAGGGATTAGGACCTCAACATATCTTTTTGGGGGGACACAATTCAACCCATAACAATAGTCCAACTCTATGATTTGCCTAAAAGTAAACCTATGGTCTAGAATCCTCCTTTATTTTCCCATGTACTGTGCTTCTCCCCATTCCATCCCTTTGCCCGTAATTCTCCTACTTGTGATGCCCTTCCTACTCACCTCCATCTACATCTGGAATCAAGAACTCTAATAGCTTTAAGAGACCAGGCAGTTAATCAGAGAACTGAAGCAAACTAGGTGGTAAATGGTAATTGACATTTTACTTCAGTATTAGAGAGACAATGGATTAGTGGGCACTGCAGATCTGTAAATTTTATATAGTCTAAAGGAAGGAATCGTTACTTAACTCCTGCTAATAGCACCATGCAGACACGTGGGCCCTGTCTGCCCACATATTCCGATTTTTCAAGAGATACTGAAAATCTAGATTTTTTGTGAGGGGATGTGAAAGAAATTTACTGATTTTAAAATGCTGGCCACTAATTCAAACAAAAACCAATAGTATGAACTAAGAGAATGTGTCTACAGTCTCATCTGGCCAGGGGCCATTTTTTTCAACCTCTTACACAAATACTTTCCATTGTTGCACGCCCACTTCAGTTAAGACCTTCTAACCATTTTGATCCTTTTTAATTCATATTTATGTGTAAGCATTAGGTGATGCTAAACAGAGTCCCTGTCTAGAAGGGCCTGGAGGACTTACGCACACACACACACACCTGCAACGAGGTAATAAATGCTTATGAATTAGACACTAAATGAGCACTAGCTAAATAAACTAACAAAGATGAAAAGCTTAAAGATGGAGGTAGAGAGATGGCAATCCTGGAAGGCCTCCCAAGGAAAAAGACTTTTGAAGCTACTCCTGAAAGGATATGCAGACCTTTACAAAGAGACCAGCCTAAATCTCTCCTTCCCCTGAGCTCCAACAGTACGAATATTTTAGATCAAGTATTAGAACGTATGTGAACCACAGTTCATTCCTGTAGTTCAGTCTAGTCTCCCCAACGAGGCTGTTACTCTGGAGCGCAGAAACCAGACCTTGTGCATTAACATACAAACGCTCCTGCCGCGGCGTTGAGCAAGCAACTGGGCCAATTTACGCCTGAGGGTTGATTCTGAGTCTGGGAGGAGATGCAGTTTGCAGTACCACAGGTGGGAACTGGGTAGAGTAAGGGGACGCGGCAGCGGGAGGGCCGTGTACAGGGCACGCCGAGACCCATAAGAGGGCCAAGGGCATAGAAGGGTCAGCACCACGTGCCTGCGTCCCCAAGGCCCCAGGGTCTCCCTACTCGGAGAAAAGAGGGGTCTGCCGCCAGCTTCCGAAGATCTGTCCTCCACCCCGCTTCCCGGAGGGACCCAGGCGCCGGGGCCTGCAGCTCTGAGGATGCAGCGGGGTCTCACCTCTAGGCCACCCCCGGCCTCCCGTTCGACTGGGGTCCCCTCCACTGCCGCCATCGCACAACCCCTGCTCCTCACTCTGGCGCGGAGCCAATATTTTGGACAAAGCACCCGGGACCGGGCGTCCACTTCCGGCGTGCTCCCCACGGAGGCGGTCCCTCTACCCCCCGCCCCTCTGCTGACCCGGCTGTGCCCACCAATACGCGTGCGCGCCCCCAGGTCGCCTCCCACAGGCTAAGCTGTCTCCTCTGCGCAGACTCGTCCCGGCCAGTTGTCTGCTGGGTCTCGCAGGGGTCGGCTCGTAAACGGTTCCACGCCGGGCAGGTTGGACCACCTGCAGATGCCGGCGCTAGGTGGGTGAGGTTACCACAGAAATGCAGAGGCCTCTGGGGGTCCTAGACTCGCTTGTGGCGGGGCTTCGGGCCCCGTCGGTCTGTGTGGACGACCCTGTGAAGTAATTTTACATTTTTGTTCTGCCCTTTTAATAATTTCTTCTCCCCATCCCTGCATGCCTTTGTGGTCTCATACAGAGATAAACAAGGATAGGGTAATGTTTAAAAGAGGCAAGTTCTGAAGTCGGAAGGACAGAATAGGTGACTTAGCACTTATAGGCTGTTTGACTTTGGGCCAGTTACTTAACCTGTCTGAGTCTCATTTAATGAATCATCTTTCTTTTCCTCACTGATTTTAAATGCTGTCTTTATCATTAACCAAGTTTACGTATGTATTTGGTTATGTATTTTGGGAATATTTCTGTTCACATATTTGTTTCTTTGGTCATAAATTGTTATAATTATTATGATATCTTAAATGTGTTTTAAAATCTGGTAGGGCTAGTCTTTTCTCCATTTATTCTTTTTTCCAGAAAAATTGTAACTATGAATTTTTTTTGTATTTATTACTTTTAAAATAACAAAGACTTTTTTCGTTGTTGTTTTTCGTTCTAAGATCCAAAATCTGCGCAAGCCAAAAGAATGAAAATAGAGGGCCCAGGGGAAGACAGTAGCTACAATTTTGTTGGGAAATATAAAGTCGTGTTAAGAGTGGTTTATTTGTCTTTTTGTCTTTTTTTTTTTTTAAAGAACTCATTTTTAATCTCTTTTGGGCTTAATAATGTTGCTCCTGTCAGCAGCATGGATTCATTATGTAATTCATTTATTCTGCAAATATGTATGGAGCACCCACTCTCTGCCAAGCACTAGTGATAAAACGAATGTTGAGCTAAACCCAAGTCCTGCTCATGGAACTTGTGGACGAGATATTTAAACAGTTCTGTGAATAAATATGAAATGGTAACTGTGGTGATTGCTATGCTGGAGGGTACATAGTGAGTGGCTTAAGAGCTTATAAAAGATTTGACCCACACAGGAAGGTCTGTGAAGGCTTTTTGGAATCTGCCTTTCCCTGAAGAGTTAGACAGATGAAAAACTAGTGGAAACCCAACTCTAACTTGAACATAAGTTGGCTCATGTAACAGGAAAGTTAAGAGGATAGACTGGCTTTGGGAAAGGCCAGAATTTAGGGATTTAAACACTGTCATCGTAACTCCTTTCTCTCTCTCCATCTCTTAGTCTTGCTTTTCTCCGTGTTGACTTCATAGATTTTTTTTCCCCCACATAGAGATGTTCAGTGCCCAGGATTACAGAAGGAGAGCACCTATAGCAGTTATAGAAAAAGGATTCTGCTCGGTTCTGCATGGATCACAATCACTATCCCGTGGATAAGGTACTTTGATTAACCAGTCTGACTTACTCTTGGGGTGTGGGAAAGGTGCCATGTTACTACTATACCCAACAGGTGATGGAAATAAAAGACAGTTTTTTGGTTTGTTTTTATTTTTACCAGAAGAATGAAACAGCTCTTTGGACAGGAAAAGTAGCAAATATCTACTATGAGAGGCTGTAGGGGGAGAGAATAACAGGCAGCAGGAACTACATGTGCAAAGTCCTGTGGTGGCTGGCAGTGCATCTGAGAACCAAAGACCTGTGTAGGTGGACAACAAGAAGCGTGCAGTATGGCATGAGATGAACTTGGAAAGATTAAGCCACACCACCGAACATCTAGAAAGCTTTTTGGCTTTATCCCAAGGGCAACAGAGACCTATTAGGGGTTTAATGGGGCTGGGTACTTGGGTGTGAGGAGGAAGAACCACCATCACATTGCAACTGCATTAGAGATTCCAGTCAGAACTGCTGAGCCCAGCCCCCTGAGAATTCCTGATGTAGAAACTGTGAGAGATAATGAAATAATTGTTGTTGTTTTAAGCCAGTAAATAGGTTTTGCAGCAATGGATAACCAGAATAGGAAGCATCTATCACTATCGTGTCTTTGTATCAATTTTCTCTGCCACATTCTCATTTGTCAATGGCTTCAAGCAATTTCCCCCATCACTTTTATGTACTTTGTGGAACTCCTTCTACTTTTGTTGGAAGAGTTGGAATTTTACTTTGTAATAAATTTTCATTGTACAGTATTTTTATTTTATTATGCAATGTTTGCATCCCCCGAAGGACAAGATGTTAACTAGATAGGTGGGGATACATGTGAATATTAAGTGGGGAGGTTTTTGTAAGGGGACTAATTAGAAGTTGATAGGTGAATATTTTCACCTTTTGATGAATTTTCCCTATCCAGACTCATAACTTTGAAGATTTAGATAATAAATATTTGAAAAATGAGGACCCCAGTAATGTTTAGAGCAGGACTGTTTCATTGGTGATAAAGGGTAAGGAAATTTGAATCACTTCATTGTCAGTGCAATGATTGTAGATTGCTTTGAAAGCTTCGTAATTCACCATGGCCTCTTCGTTATTAATGTTCTAGAATCATAGAGATAAAATACATTCTGAAGATCATGACTTTTATCCCTATTTTGAACATAATCGGCCTTTTTTACCTTCCATCTTGTTTTTCCTTCTCCACTTTCCTTTCACAATAGTTATTAGGCTCCTGTATATGCTAGCCATTGAGGATACAAAACTGAACAAAAAAGGCATTGAAGTAAAGGCTATGAATGTGTGTTTTTCTTATTTGCAGCAAACATTTATTGAGCAGTTACTATGCATTGCTATTTTTTTCTACATGCAGTTTTAAAAATCTCTCACAATGTAAATTAGAGACCAAGGGAAAGCAAGAAGAGAGAAAGAAAAAGATATTTACATGAAGAAAATAGTCTGTTAACTTGTTTTAACCATCGGTTTTGCTGTATGATCTGAGAAATATTAACAAATTTACCTAAATGATCTTAAGAAAATCTTCCAGTGTACACACAAATTACAGGAGTAACAAAGAGATATACATTTATTATATTATTTCTGGAAAGCTTTTAAGTAATTGACTCAACTTTCTGTCTGAATTACAGAAGACTCCCAAAGAAAATGTGGGCAAGATATTCAGTTATTTTTTTAACAGCAAAGGCCATTTTGTGTAGACTTCTGAATGCACCACTAGATGGCAATGTTTTGCAGCCTGTAGTGATTAACAGATCAAAACGTCTTAAATTCATACACCTTTATTTTTAGACAATAGAAAAAGAAGCTTCCTAGTTAGTTGAACAAGAGTCACATGGCTTTTGGTCATTCCTAGCCTGTGAACTAAAAGTCTATATCTGAAAAGATGTCCACGAAATAGGGTTAAATTTTAAAGCAATCTCAGAACAATATATTTTCTCCCTCGCTGCCCCTCTCATTTCCTTTCCTCCCACAAATATTTATTGAGCACCAGCCCTGTGCCAACTGGAAATATGTGGTGAGCAATGCAGCAATGGTACAGCCTGCATGGATCTTGAAGTACCCTGTAGATGGACTACAAGATGGACATTGGTTCCACTTTCATGTTATAAACAACAATAACCACGAAGAACATTTTTATACATGTGCTTGAGTTAAAGTTCTGCCTCAACCACTTTGGAGAGCAATTTAACAACATCTAGTAAAATTGAGAATGTGGATACCCTATATGATCCAGCAACCCCTCTTTAGGATACATACCCTAGAACAGTGGCTTTTGAACTTTTTGGTACCAGGTCACCATTACACTCTTAAAAATGACTGAGGACAACAGAGGGATTTTGTTTATAGTTAAAGTAGGGAGGAAGCAAGAGAATTAAAAATGTTAATAAAGCCACATTCAGCAGGGCGGTGGTTCTCAAACCATGTGATCAAATGTTAATAAAGCCACATTCAGCAGGGCGGGGGTCTCAGCCATGTGATCAAAACTATTTTCACAGTAATACTAAAATGTTATTTGCCCTTATGTTTACTCTCTCATGAATATACATTGGAGCTTTCAAGAGGCTACGTGATGTTGACATTGCAACAGATCAACTGCAGAAGCAGATAGGAGAATCTGGATGGTTTCTATTAAGTCAGACATTGAGGAGATCTACAAAAATCTAATACAATGTCACTTCTCACAAATTTTTTTGCTTGGTAAAATATAATTTTAATAAAAATTATTTATATTAACATAATTTGTTTTAAATGAACTAATATTTAAAATCTTTGTAATTTTTAATTTCCAACAAGGTAAATATCAAAAGATATTGTCACTGTGATGCAGGACGGCACATTTCCCCAAGTGAGGGCAGAGACCAAGCCCTGTACGGAGAGAAGAGTCTTTTGTGGAGAGTGTGGAGAGAATTCAACACACACGCCAAAGTTAGAGTCAGAAGGAAAGTTTATTAGAAAAGGAATAACACTCCACAGAGTATGGTCTCCTCTCAGAGGCAGAGAGTGAGAGAGAGGTAAGAGCAAAGGCACTGAGAGGGGCCTAGAGGAACAGAGACAATAGAGATGAGGACAGTGAGAGAGACAGAGTAAAAGACACTGAAGGGAACCTTGAGTGTCCCGGGAATTTAGTTTATATGCCATTCTTCAGTTTCAGTGAGTTATAGTTTAAAAGACTATTAACCCATCTCCTTTGACGTGGACCTAAAGTGAAGAAGGGGAAGGAGAAGAGTATGTAGTAAAAAGGTAAGAATATGTAGAGTGAAAGACCTGCTGGCAGTTCCCAGCCTTTAATCCATAGGTTCCCCATAGTTTTAGCCATAGGGAATGACTCTTGGTTCCTGGTTCTCCTTCACAGGTGTGGGCAATGGGTCGTTAGCAATCCAAGCAGAAATCTTCCTTTGTTCTGAAGGTGTCCTCCTGGCCTGGCTGCATGGCTGATCAGCATATTGCAGTCTCTGAATGTGGCTTTATTAACATTTTTAATTCTCTTGCCTCCTCCCTACTTTAACTGTAAACAAAATCCCTCTGTTGTCCTCAGTCATTTTTAAGAGTGTAATGGTGACCTGGTACCAAAAAGTTTAAAAGCCACTGTTTTAGGGTATGTATCCTGAAGAGGGGTTGCTGGATCATATAGGGTATCCACATTCTCAATTTTATTAGATGTTACGAAATTGCTCTCCAGAGTGGCTAAAGCAGAAGTTAAACAAAAATCTGTATATAGTTGGTTTTTTTAGGGATATCTCAAATCGTAAAGAATTGCGGAATTATTGTTAAACTTATTGATTCAATATCTTTTCTTAACAATAGTGAGAAATGCAGGGTAATATTTATTTTTTATGTATTCAGAGGAAGTTTTTCTTGGTCACTGAAAACGGTGTTGTAGAGTGTCAACATTAAATGTATCGGAAAATTTATTTTTGGCGCCTCATGGGAGATAGAGGTGTACAAATTATGCAAATATGCTTTTTTTTTTTACCATCAGGGGAATTTCATTGTTCTCAAATACTGCCTTCTGTAATTTCTGTTAAAATCTAAACCATTTTCCACTGACACCCAATTCATAAAAAAATGCTAAGGCATCTAATGTTAACAAAAATTCAAAGGCTGTTAGTTTATAGGTCATCAAGTGACCAAGGTTATTTGGTGTTGTTTTTTGATTGTAGAATATTTGAATTGTTCAAGTGTAGCTGATATAAAACTTTTACTGCATTAAATTTTGGAAATAAGATGTGGGTAAATATAAAAAACTGAGTTTTACAGGGCCAAGATGCAATGACATTAATTGGATGTTTCTTTAAAAAAATTTTTTAAAATTAATTTTAGGTATACAGCACAATGGTTAGGCATTTATATAATTTATGAAGTGATCCCCCTGATTACTCTAGCACCCACCTAGCACACTATACCGTTATTACAATATTATTGACTATATTACCTATGTTCCATATCCCTATGATGTTTGGTAACTACTAATTTGTACTTCTTCATCCCTTCACCTTTTTTCACGCTGCCTCCCATCACCCCCCCCCTCACCAGTTTGTTCTCTGTATCTGTGAGTCTGTTTTCGTTTTGTTTCTTTTGTTCCTTAAATTCTGCATATGAGTAAAATCATATGCTATTTTCTTACAATGGTTTTGCATGTAGTGATTTGCACACCCTACTCTTGTAAAATGAAATGTGACCACAGTCAGCTATTACCTGATATTTATGGTGGAGGGCTTTGGACAACCAAATATAAATCTTGATGAGATTTTATGCTGCCACTCAGGGAAATGAATGGGATAGGTTAGAAACCGAAGTACAGCACAATTCAGGAGACATATCTGAGCAGTAGTAATATTGTTGATGCAGCATGCATCACAGGAACAAATGGAAATTGTTTTTTTATCTGTTGTTAGGGGATTATCTAGCTCCTGGTGGGGCTAGCTGAAGGAACTGTGTCTTCAATAAATTTTTTGTGCCAATAACCAGACTCTCAGCAGGTCATGGTCTCTAAAGTTATAAACCCAGGAGCGAATATGTTTAAATGTGGAATTCTATATAGATGGCCCTTTCAAAGGGAAGATAAACCAAAATTGCTGGTCTTAGCCTTTTGGATTACTGACTTTATTTGAACCACATCAAGCAATAAAGAACTTAGAAATCATCTAATTCAGCTATTTATTTGATAGAAGAAAATGAAACATAAGGATGACCACTTATTTATGCATTCACTTGAAAACATTTTGTTAATGCTCACTCTGTGCAGACATTGACCTGATCATGAAGAAGTAGGGTGAATATATAATTTATCATCCAAACTTTTGAGAGTGAAAGGGATGCCCTTAATAATTATACTGAGACATCAAACAAGCCAAAAGCCAAAACTGTCCTGGGAAAACCTGAATGTAGATAACCCTAAGACATCATTCTAATCTTCCGAAGGAGAGATGTAAAACCACAAGATGGAGATAATTATGCATGTGATATATGCAAGAGAAATGCTGAGGAAGGGTATACCTGGCCTAGTGAGGAAAGACCTCTCAGAAAGCGATGCTCTACCTGGATCCTAAGGGGTGAGTCACAATTTATCAGGTAGAGAAGGAAAGGATGTTCCCAGCAGAAGGAAGAGAACGTGCAAAGCCTCAGCACCATTTTTATGCATCGGGGAACTGCAAGTGGTTTTCCATGGTCAGAGTGTGTGGCAGGAGGAGAGCAGGTGCTGAAATGAGATCCATGGGGATCAGATTATCAGGGCCTTGCAGGGTGTGCAAAGGAGTGTGTGAGTTTCCTCCTTGCAGACAAAGGGAACCATTGAAAGATTTTAAGCAGGGCCATGACCTAATCAGATTTGTGTTTTGAAAAATTCACTCTGACAGCAAGTGAGATGAATTGAAGGAGGAGAGAACAGTCAAGAGGCTTTTGCATTAAGCTACAGGAAAGAGGGCAAGATCAAAATTAGGCAGTGATGGTGGGGATGGGCCTTAAGGGGCAGAGTTGAACGTTTTTAAAAAATAGTGGCTTATGTAACTAAAAAAATCTAGAGGTTATGCCTATGTCAATCAAGCCTGGCTGCAGACAGGAGCTCAAACAATGCTTTTAGGACCTGGACTCTCTTCTTAGCTCAGTGTCCTCCATGAGAGGTTCTACCTTGAAAACATATATCCCCTCAGCTTCAAATCCCATGATAAAACACCTGCCCTGGTACTCAAAGCATCAACCAATCAGTCACTGTGGCTAAGGGAATTGGAATCTCTGATTGGCCAGTCTGGGTCACATGTCTACCTGAGTTGGGCTGAGGCTCTACAGAAATGGCACCAACTGAGTAAAGACAAAGAAGTGGATTCAAAAGGGAAAATCTGGGAAGAGTGAAATCCATATTGGGAATGTGAACAGCAAGCTTCAACCATAGAGGCAGAGCTGGGTGGACCCCCAGGTGACTGCTCTGACCACAGGCCCTCAGAAGCTTGGAGAGGACCACAAAGCAAGGTCAGGAGAAGGTCATCCTTAGGAAGGAAGGAGTCTTATCCTCTTTAAAGTTCTGTAGAGGAGGAGAATCCCTGTCTCTCCCTGTGAGAAGGGAGGGATGAACTTGACTGAGTTGAATCTAAGACATTTGCTGAGAATATGAATGGAGTTATTTTGTCTCAAAAGGGAGAACAGGCTCCAGCCCCTCTCTTTGATGCATGGGCAGCTACTCCTCCATGTTCTGTTCGCAAGAAGTAGTTGGTAAGCAGGTGGGGTGGAGCAGCCCTGCAGATCCAGACCTGCCTGCACTTAGGGCGAGAACAAGGAATTATTTTTAATCTCAGGTGTAAAAGTACAGACTCTACCACCATCTTAGTGCATTTCAAAGTAAATTGCAGACATTAGTACACTTACCCCTAAATGCATATCATTTAATCAGTTAAGTATTTGTTTACATTTTTTTTCCTTTCGAAGTAAAATTTACTTAGGTTAAAATGCAGAAATCTTAAATGTATATTCACCAAGTTTTGACTGTGTAGCCCACACCTGAAGGACTTTTTATTACCAAGAGCAACCAGAAAAGCCGATGGCACCTGCCTGAGATTTTATCCAAGGGGGCAGGGAAGAACTAGCCCATCAGAGTGGGTTTCAAGGAACAGTGAGGGCGAGGAGGTGGATTCTCTGATTACATCCCACTAGTCCTTCCCGTTAGAGGTCTTAGTCACATTGTTCAGCGAAGCCCTTAGAACTCTGAACACAGAGGAAGCGCTTAGTCCCCATGGGCTCCTGTTATTGCTGGTACTGTTGATATTGTTATTATCCTCATCTGACTGGCTAGCCTTTGTCTATTTGTATTAGCCAAAATGCTGTAAGAGAAGGAAGGTGAATGGTAGAATCTGGATGCCACACCTTACCCTAAACTCCCTAACAACTCTGAGATTGTAACTGAAAAAAGAACAAATAATGAATAATATTATTTGCAAAAGTGAACTGACCTGGGAAAAGGCAGGTTGCCTATCCAGCTGCTATTCTTTCCTTTTTCCTTGATGGCAAAGCCAGAAAGGCTGAAAATGCTCAATGTTCACTCCCCAGCCTTTCTTATAGCTGGGCATGTGAACCAATCCAGGCCAGTGCAATTTTAGGGAAAGTTCCTGGAAGCTTCTGGGAAAGATTTTCCTTCCTAATAAAAAAGAGCTACATGGGAGGAAATGCCGTTCTCCTTCCTTACTTTGAATGTTATTACCTGAGGATGTGATGCTTGAAGCTATGATAGCTACCTTGCCTCCACAAGGGTAAAGCTAAGAGACTCAAAGAAAGGTCAGCTTGCTCCTTAGTTTTAGAGTGGCTGAATTCTGAAGCGCTTACTTCTAGAATTCTTTTTGTGAGGTCATAAATTCCTCATTGTTTAAGTTGCCTTTAGTTGGATGGTCTGTTCCTTGCAGGCTACAGCATACTAACTGATAGACGTGATTTGTAAAAGTTGTTAGTAATACCAGGCCATTCTCTGAGTACAATCTTATTTGTGTCACAAAGATCAGACTGCTAACTTTTAAAAGAAAACTATAATCCACTGATTTGTGGTATGAGTAAACTATCAGTTTTCAAAACAGTTAAGCTGGCAGAACAGGAGTTGTTTGAAAATCATGGTTTTCAATATTTGTAGTGATTTTAACATCATGATGGTCATCTTCAGGGCTCCATATAGCTCAGGATGGAAACTGTCTTCTTATTTCTAACTTTATCTATGAGTATGTAGCTAGCTGGTGGCTGACTTGGGGTTTCCTGTGAGTCTAGGTCCTGTGAAATCTTGATGTATTTAATTCTGTCATCCAAACTGGTAACAACTTTATTGATAGAAAACAGGGCTTTATTATAAGTACCCAGTATAAAATCTCAACCAAATTATACATGCCTAGCGAAAAACTACTAGTTTGTTTTTGTCAAACTGATTGATAGAATTTTCATTTATGTTCAACATCCAATAAATATTAAGTGCCTACTATGTGCCAAGGTTTGTGCTGGAGACTGGGAGTAGAGCAGTGAGCCCCACAAGTACCACCCCAGATTAAAAAGATAATGGAAAAATAACCAGGCAATTATAACACAGAGAGAGAAATGTTTCCATCTCTTGAGAAGTTCAGTTCAAGAATCACTCCCAGGGACAAGTACAGGAGATCCCAGAGGAGTTCATTCATTCATTCATTCAACTGATAATTTATTCAACATGTTTATTGAGCATCTACAAAGTGACTAGGCAGTGTGCTAGGAACAGATGGGGGAACAAGAGATATAGTCTCTGCCCTCATGTTGCTCTCATTCCAGTGGAGGAGAAAGACAGGCAGACAGGTAATTATAGTGTGACAGTGCATCTAAGAGGAGTGCATCTAAGAGGGCACCAGACCCAAATTTGGGGTTGTGAGGAAAGAATCTAAGCAGAGATGGGAAGGATCAGAAGGTGCGGAAGAATTTTCCAGACAGAGGGGAGATTACTGTCCATAGCCATAAGGGCAAAAGAGACCACAGACAAGGTCATTTCAAATAGCCAGGATAAAAATTTGGGCAGAGTGGAAACTGCAAGGGGTAGAAAAGGAGAGGATTGGAAGAGATAACTGGTGACCAGGTCCTGACAAATCTTGTAACCCATATTAGGGAGTCTGGGCTTTTTCTGAGGATAATAGGTAAAGAAGAGATTTTAACAAGGGAATAAAGTGGTCAGATGTTCACTTTAGAAAATCACTGGCTGCCACGTAGAAAGGGGTTTGGAGGGTGAGACACCAGAGGCAGGAGACCAGTTAGGAGGCTACTGAAGTTCTCTTGGGCAGTGCTGGTAACACCTGACCTAGGAATGGCAATAGAGACATATGGACTGATTAGAGAGCTCTTTGAGAGGTGCAATCAATAGGAAGTGGGGAACATTGGAAAGGACTCCATATAGTATGCTAGTTTCTGACCTCAGCAACGAAGAAGATAGCAGAGCACAAGGGGCTTGGAATGGGGGTAGGTAATCAGTTCCTTTCAGTGTATGTTGAACTCGAGGGACCCGGGGGAGATTCATGTGGAGATGTCTTAGAGGCCGCTCTGGAACTGAGGAGAGAGCTCAGCTGGAGTCTGTGATTTGGAAGTCATCAGAATAAAGTGGACACTGAGCCCATGGGCATCGGTGAGATCACTCATGAGTGTCTGGAGCAAGGTAAGGGCAGGAAACCCAGAGGAAGACCAGCATTAAAGAGATGTTTCAGAGAGAAGGGTGCTCACAAGCAAGACAGGAGAGACAGGAAAGAAGAGAGCCAGGAGAGGCTGGTGTCCCAGAAAGCAAGGGGGAGTTGACGTTTACCCGGTATTTGCTTTCAACTTTTGTCATATATGAGATTGGTTTATGGAAAATTTGTAAGAGAAAAGCATACATGTGAAACACTTCTATTAACACATTTTTTATAATTTGAGAAAAGAGTCCTTTTTTGGTTCGTGGCATACCAGAATTCCATAAGGCCATAGTCAGAGAACTAGCGGCCCAAAGTGAGGAAGTATTAACAGAAAGCTGGAAGTCTCCATGGAGTCTAGAAAGAGAGGACTGGTCTGGCATTGATGGAGGGAGGAAACTTGATATGACAGGAACACGCTTTCCATCTCTTGAGAAGCTCTGTTCAAGAATCACTCCTAGGCCTTTCCACTGTTCATTGTGCTCTCCTGCAAGCCTGCTCATTAGCTGGATTTCCTGGGGACTGCTTGGAAATCAGCATCTTGTGAGTCTGGTTGGAAAGCGTCAAGTCCTAGGGCTCTAGCAGATAAACTCCAAAAAACTGATGAGCTTCAGGAGCCTATGAAACTGACTTGGGCCTTGGTGACCACACTTTTTTTTAACAGGATGGCAGCCCACTTTCCTGGCATCTCATTAGCTACAGCTCATCACACTGGAGTTTCTGCCTTCCAGGTGGTGGGGATAATAATCTGGAAGGAAGGGGCTTGGCAAGGTTTGGGTCAAACTTTATATAGCAGAGGAAGCAGTAGCGAAAATTATGGAGGAGGATGTTAAGCCCTCTGAACTCCCATCTTGAATCTGTCATTTAATTGCCCTCTTCTTTCCTGTTCCTCATGATTTTTCCTAGGGAAAACTACTTTTCCTGTTTCTCAATACACATATTGCAAAATGACATTTCTACATGTAACTTACGTCCTTTGGTCCAGAAGGTAAATTCTGTCCTCTGTTGATTGTTCTGGTACAACCAGGAAGCACAGGAAGAAACCTGGGTGAGAACTTGAATCTCAATGGTCAGTCTGCCAAACATCATAAGGAGGCTCTGGGGTTTGAGGCATGTGTAGGTGGGGTTCACAAGAATAAAATGCACTCCCCACCCATGAAGAACTCGCAAGGCCAACATGGTGACTGGCACACAAGAGCGCTCAGCTGTAACTACTACCCACAGACACTCAATGCAGGAGCTGGGGCTGATGGGGGAAAAGACCGTGCTGGGGGTGGGAGCCTGCGAGGCTCTGCACAATCAGATACCAAGCTTTAAGATTTCTAGAACCATACAAACAGGAAGGAAAGGGGGAAGAGTGCCAAGAACAGAGCGATTTCTCACGGATGGGAGCCATGGAGCCCACCGGTCCATGAAAAATTACTCCCCATGAAAAATTACTCAACAGCAGCTCAAGGCCTGACTCCTCTTGGTCTTCAGGTCTGAGCATCGCATCTTTGATGTGGCTGCAGTCATTTGGTTGCTGACACTTCATCTAAGGTTCAGGAAGTACTTATCTTACAGGCTTCATGACAGTACCATTGGCTTTCTGGACTGGACACCTAAGGAAGTTCAACCATTCTTGATAGTTTTAAAATAAGCTGTGTGAACCCTGTTCAGCTTGCCAAAAAGAAGAAACAGTTGCTTGAAAATGATGGTTTTCCATATCTGCAGGGATTTCAACATCGTCATAGTCACATTCAAGTTCAACATAGCTTGGGATGGAAGTTGTCTTCTTATTTTTAACTTTATTTACCAATGAGTATGTCTCTGTCAGCTTGCTTGCTGTTTCCTGTGGGGCTAGAATACACAAAAAGGTTCTTACATGCAAAAAGCTCTTGTGTATTTATATATCTTTGACCAAGTGACTCAGTGTGGTTTTTATGGGTTTCAGTGATCCTCCCACTTCTTAGTGGACCAGATCCTTATTTTACATAGGAAACTGAGGCACAGACATGACACAGTCTCAAGATCACCCAAGCGAGTAAATGGCAAATATTGATCAGACATCTTGACTCCCATGTCCCTCTGCCTAAGACTGCATTGCAGCGGGAACCATGAAACAGAAACTTAGACCAGAAACTGACCAGAGCTAGTAGCCAAGTGAGTAGTGTTGTGTCTATAGATCCTAATTCTCATAAGGAAGTGATACAAACCATATTTCCTTTTTGGCACATCCCTCACAGTGACTTACACTGTTTCCAGAACTATTGCCAATTGCTCATGTACGAATCTCTCTGCTAAGAAGAATGGGGACAGTGGTGTTTTCAAAAGGTGGATTTAGTGGAGAATGGGTACATAGCAAAAGAAGTAATGTGTCTAAGGGAAGGATGATGAAACAGCTCAACTCTACATTTCATGGGGACTGGAACTTCCTGTACCGCAGTCTCATGTTTTCCTAAGCAAACCTAAAAAACTGCTACCGTTTCATTTCCTGCAGAACTCTGCATTTAGACAGATCTGAGTTCATGTTCAGACTTCAGCAGTCACTAGCTGTGTGACCATGGGTAAGTCACTTGACTTCTCTGTGCCTCAGTGGCCTCATCTGTTAGAAGGTAATAATAATGTACTTGTCTCATACAGCTGTTGAGAAAATTAGATGAGATAATGTCTGCAGAGTACTTAGCATGGGGCCTGACACACAGTGCATGCTCAATAAATGTTAGCTAATATTATTATTTATCCTTTCAATCAAAACATTTTTATTATCTACTAAGCTCCAGGCACTGTTCTTAGTGGTGGGTAAACAGTGGTGAACAAGACCAGAAAGGTTTCTACTTCCTGGAATTTTTACTGTAGTGGAGGAGATGAATAAACAAATGAACAATAACTAAATAAGATAATTCTGATAGTTGCCATAAGTCTCATTAAGAAAATTAGCAGACTTGCTCTAGACAGGGTGGCCAGGAATGGGCTCTTGGAGGGGGCAACATTTGAGCTGACTCCTGAAGGATGAGGTAAAGCTATGTGAAGAGCTTAAGGGAACTAGATAGAGTTTTTCTGATAGGAAGTGTGAGATGCCCAGCAATACCCCAGGTTCTTTTTAACTCACGTTCCAAGCTGGGATTTGAATATGAATTTATACATTGATAATCGGGAGCATTAGTACTTATTCTGCTCCTTTTAAACTTATCTCTTTTAAACGGGTTGCTTCTGTCTGTAAATCCTAGTGTTACAGACTGAATGTCTTTGTCCCCACAAAATTCGTATGTTGAAGCCCTAATCCCCCAGTGTGGTTATGTTTAGAGATGGGGCCTCTAAGGAAGTAATTAAGGTTAAATAAGGTCATAAGGGTGCAGCCCTGATCCAATAGAATTAGCGCCTGTATAAGCAGAGACACCAGAGAGCTCTTCCTGCCTTGTGAGGACACAGCAAGAAGGCAACCACCTGTAAGCCAGGAAGACAGTCCCCACTAGAAACCAATTCAGCTGGCACCTTGATTTTCAGTTTCTAGCCTTCAGAACTGTGAGAAAATAAATTTTTGTTGTTTAACCCACCCTATCTATGGCATTTCGTTATGGGCAGCCTGAGCCAACTAAGACACCTAGCTACTTGTTATCCTACCCTGAATGAGACTGTTATCAGCAAAGTATACTTACAGGTGTCTAGTTGAGGAAGCAAATTCCTGGGTGGCAGAGGGGGTAACTGATCCGGTGATTGATTGACATTCCTGGAGACAAAAAAGAAGGAATCAGTGTCTGTTTCTGACCAAACTGTCAGTGGATTTAAAGGAAAACATCAAGGAAAGTGGACAGGGTTGAACATTCAAATTATGGTTCCTAAAACTTGGAAGCATTGCCTTCTCTTTGTCGGTCTTACATCCTATTTGTAACTGGCACTCTAAAGAAACCACTTCCTTTAGCCAGGGAACAGCTAGACTTGAGGGAAGGGAGTTGGAGCACTGTAACTTAGAGCATAAAGCTCTGCTTCCTGTGCTCACCTGAGCTGGATTAGCAGAGGAGATAAGCACCAGCTGTATTTTGATTTACAAAACAGATGTGCTCCTAAAGCTAACTGTATATACACTGTGTGGCAGCAATTCCACTACTGGGTATATACCCTACTGAAATGCTTGCAGATGCTCACCTAAAGACATGTACTAGAATGTTTATAGCAACACTATTCATAATAGCCCTAAACTGGACACTACCCAAATGTCCATCAGCAGTAGAATGAATAAATTCATCATGGTATATTCCCACAGTGGAATACTCTATACAATAAGAATGAACAATCTATAACCACAGGCAATGAATCTCACAAAAAATGTTGAGCAGAAGAATCCAAACAGCAAATAATACATGTTGTCTAACTCCATAAAGCATAAAAACAAGACAAAACTAACATACTATTTCAGATAGTGGTTATCCTTGGGGTGTAATGGCTGAAAGAGAATGTAAGATATTGAGGTGCTGGTAATTTTGTTTCTTGATCTGAGTGCTAGCTACCTGGGTTGGTTCAGTTTGTGAAAATTCTTTGAGTTGTAGTTACTTACCATGTATACTTTTCTGTATTCATATTATATTTCACTAAGAAGTTTCAACAAAAAAAAATAGACTCCAAGCAAGACTCCTTACCTAGACTCCCATTCCCCTATATGAAGTCTTAGTTTCATACTGATTTTCTAAGGCCTCCTATATGTGCTTAAGTTCCCCTGGGAATGCATAAGCATTTTTAGGTTGTTGGAGTGAGTGGAAAGGGGACACACAGCAAGAGCTCCACCAGTGGCCTCTTTTTACCCCTCTAAGGCTCTTTTCAGGAGAGGAGGGAAATTTATCTGACTCATAAATTTGGGGGAAAATCCAGCTCCTCTCACTTTCTCTTCCAGAGATGGCAAGACTGCAAAAAGCATATGTTCTGCTCTGGTCTTTGCCATGCCATTCAGAGAAAGTGGCTGCCCTGTGGGGAAGACCTGAGATTCTCCAGGGCTGCCTGTGCACTGTGCAGGAAAGTTCACCTGGTTTTGAATTAGGAAACACACTTGCCCCTGGAGAAGAGCCACATCCTGCAAAGCCAGTTTCATTATCAATAGGCAGTGTTTTGGTTACCTAAATGCAAGACACATTAGAATTAGTGAGAAAGAGGCCTATTATGTGCTGGCTCCCTTGAGCCCCAACAACAGTCATTTTAGAAAAGCATTGATTTGTTTCAGATAGTGTTTCAGAGAGAGGACTGGCCCCAGACCAGCTCCTGGGGGATAACCTCTAAGCTCTTGGAAAATCCTGCCAGATAAGTGTTTCTTTGTGTACCTGGGGGCCTTGGGCCAGCCAGATAGTTTATGCTAACAAGGTGACTGATGGTGAATGCCTGCTTGTGTTTGTCTGAGGCCCTGGGTCACCCTGTATCAGTTTGACTTCTGGAGGAGCTGGAGATTGAGTAGCTAAAGTAGTCATGCTCTGTGCTTATATGTCTGACCACCAATAAAAACCCTAGAAATCAAAGCTCAGGTGAGCTTCTCTGGTTGGCAGTGCTTTGGAAGCTTGTGCCTGGTCTCTCCTGGACTCCACCCGATGTGCCTTTTTCCTTTGCTGATTTTAATCTGTATCCTTTCACTATAATAACCCATAACTGTAAATACAATAGCTTTTCTGGGTCCTGTGAGTCCTAGCCAATCATGTAAGCTAAAGGTAGTCTTTGGGACCTCCAACACAGGTAGCAATCATAAAGCCCTCAAAGATATCACAAAATACAAAAGTAAAGCGAATGGCATATTTTTGTTTAGCACAGAGCTTTTAGAAGACTGCTTATAATCCATCTCAAGAAAAGAAGGGTAGACCTCATCCTGAGTGGTGGACCCAGAACACAGAGCCCAACCTGCGACCTCTATCAAACTAGATGAGGTGAAGGAGGACTTGGAGAGCAGAGAGAGCCAGATGGTGCCCTGCACCCCCAAAGCCCTGAGACCTCTCCCCCTTAAAGTGAGGAGAATTGGCAGATGTGACATTTCACTGGGCTGCATGGGAAAAGTGGGTGTTTAAGTCATACTAGCACAGCAGTGTGGGCTCAAGAGTGGAAGTGAACAGGCAGTTCTCAAAATTAAAAAGCAGAAGAATCCCCCCCTCCGCCCCCCACCGACACACACACTTACTCATACATCATTTCGTCATCTCTTTGTATTTGTTTCAAGGGCTTGGTAATTTTCAATTTCTTGCCTAAGGAAAAAAAATAAACATTCGTTTATGAAGAATTAGCAAAAGTTGTGATTTTAGAGTTCAGAAATCCTCAAACAGGCAGGTTCAGGACATTTGGAAGAATAACCAACAAGAGGAAACAAACTTAGGGACACAGAAGTAATAAATGTTAGAGCTAGAATTTAACCCAGGTCATCGTGATATAGGGAAGAGGCATGAGAACTACTCAGATTGACTATCAAACCAAATTGTATTCAGAGCCTACAATGGGCTGATCAGCCCTATAGCCAGACCACCAAGGAACCAACAGAATAAAGGAAGATTCCTGCAGAGATTACTAACAAACTGTTTACCCATACCATTAACCTGCATACCCATATCATAAAAGGAAAACAGGAAAACAAAGTCTTTAAATTATACACAAAATAAACTCAACCATTCATTCCCTACGCCAGACCACTGGGAACCTATGTAACAAAGCCTGAGATTACCAACATGCCTTTAACGCCGCATACCCATACCTTAAAAGGAAACCAAATTCCTTAAATACTCAGGGTCTTTCTCATTCTCTGTCTCTGAGAGGAGATCACACTGTCTGTGGAGATTTATTCCTTTTGTAATAAACTTTCTTTTTGTCTCTAACTCTGGCATGTGCTTGAATTCTTTCCTGCGTGCAGTTAAGGACTCTTACTCTCTTGGCGTAGGACTTGAGTCCCCACTCGGGAATGGGGGGGATTCGCCCTGTTCTGCATTAATGATTACAAATGATTACAATGATTACAAATATGATTACAGAGCCTTTCGCAAGTCCAGTGAAGGCAGGACCATGCAGGCTGTGTTCATTTCCTTATTGCCTAGTATTACACCTGGCACGTAGTTGGCACTCGGAAATGCTGGTCAAATGAATAACCAAAAGCGTGGTTGGGAGGAAATGAGATAAGGAATGAGAAGAGCAGCTTGTAAATTGTGATGCGTTTGGCATATAAATTATTATTAATTATAACCTGCTTGTTAATAGGACCGGGTCAAGATAAAAGAATAGGGAAAGTTTTTGTTCGGGGTCATACTTTTTTCCATATCTGAGAACAAAAAGTTTTAAGAAGGCAAATGGATAGAGGACTATAGGAATATTTTAAATACATTTTGTATTAAAAAATAATAATAATTACCATTAAGGGATAGAGGGGAAAAAACATTGAATGGGTAGCCCAGCAGACCTGAGTTCTGGTCCCTATGAGACTTCAACCGAGGCTCACCTTTCTCTGAATCTTAGTTTTCCTATCTCTAAAAAGAGATCAAGAAGAATACCAAAAATATTTCACTTCTTGTACAGCCCTGACCTTCCAGCACTGAATTGAGCAGGATTCTGAGGCTTTGTCCAGATGCAGTGGGAGGATAGCAAAGGCATAATCATAGAGGGATGCCTGCCCAGGTTGCTCAAGGGAAAGGTGGCTATACCTCTTAGTGTATTTCCCACTCCCAGGTGTACTCTAGGCTTAAGTCATTACAGAAAGGGAAAGGATCTTAAGAATACACACCACTGAATCAAGGAGTTAATGTTTCTGAAGATGAATATCAAAATGGAAAACCATTTCAAAGTGGTTTTGAAGTGGTTTTCCATTTTGATATTCATCTTCAGAAAGATAAAGTTAGTGTTAATCACCAGGTGGATGCTTTTTTTTTTAATCTGGGGATGACAAGAACCTCTGGCCATGGTAGATATAATACCAGAATTCAGAGTATAATTTTAGAGGAGGCAGTCACAGTGGCCAAACAGGTTGATCATGGATTGAGCCCATTTTTCACACCTCAAGATACTTTTAAAAAAGTCACTTTATTGAAGTATGATTGGTGAACAAAAAGCTGTACACTTTTCATGCACACAACTTGATGGATTTGGAATCGACAGTTTTTGACATTTCATACACTTGTGCTCTCTTTTAGAGTCTCAGAGATAAGTTGCTGTGATCAGCAGCTATACTGGAGAGAGAAAACTCCAGAGCACAGTGTGTCTTGAAACAGATTCTGCTTTCACCCAAGCCCTTAGTTAACCTCCCTCCCTTAACTATGCAGATGGGGAAACCGAGGCCCGTGGCTACAAGTTAGTGGCAGAGGTCAAACTGAAATCCAGAATGCATGATATTTAATTCAAAGGTCAGCCCATACAGGCCCCAAATTAATCTTTATGCTCTAAAGGAGCCCTAATGCTCTGATAACCACCCCTTCTCCTCCCTCCACCTGCCAAGGTGAGGTAGCTATTACCTTGTGTAAGCAGCCGCCTACAGACGCAGTACAGGATGAGGCCCAGGACCACAGAGACAATGACGATGGCCACAGCTAAGATGATCCAGAAATTGTCCCTCCACCAATCCATTGTAGTTGATTACTGAGGAGAATAAAGACAGAGAAATGAGGTATCAGTGAAAGACATCCTGGGGTGGTGGAGGCTACCTCTCCATCTACCATGTTGTGTGGAGATGCATCTGCTTAGGGAATCAGGCAGGCACTGGTTCACATTCAAACTCTGCCAATTAGCAGCTGGGAAACCCAAGGCAAGTCACTTAACTTCTGAGCCTCACTGTCTTCAACTACATGATGGAGGTGTTAGTTAACACTACGGTGGTGATCATTATATAATATAACTATCATATAACTATAACTATCAAATCAACACGTTGTGCAGCTTAGACTCACACAGTGTTCTGTGTCAATTATACCTAAATAAAGTTGGGGGAAATGAAAAAAATAAAAAGAGCATCATTAAAAAGTTCCCATAGTACAAAGTGACCAGTGCATCTGTAGTACAGTAATGTCTAATATTCATCCTTTAAATTGTTGCCCGAATAGTACTGTGTTGTGATCTTCTCTCCCCATCAAATCTTAAAGTAAATTGTACAACAAATGCTTGTATTAACAGAGCTTGGGGGAAAAATGACATGTGTGCAGTGATTTTCCAAGCCACGGGTGATATAGGGGCAAGTAGAAAGAAGAGCAGCTGCCAGGCTCCAAGTAACAATGGGGAGCAGGCTGCAGATGGACTCATAGGAGTAGCCTCCAGGAATTCAGGGAGATTTAGGGGAGGGGCTAGGCTCCCTTCATTCGTGGAATGAGCTTTTTGATATTAAAGTAAAAATGATCCTTGAGGCCTGGGAGAGATCCTAAAATCTCTCCCAGGTTATACAAGAATCAACTTCCTGTGTCACCATTTAGCCAATGGAAACTCACAATGTATACTGGTGTAGTGCCATTTCTGATTCATGCGTTTAAGTAATATTAATGATGTCAACAGGGAACCAGGCTGGCGGTAGAGGAACAGGGGCAAAATTAGGTTACTGCTGAAGTCATTATTATTATAAAGACCTAACTTGGCTTACTATTTTAAAATGTGCATTACTGGCCTAGTGTCTTCATTTATTAAGTTGTTATATCACGAGTTGAATTTTCAGTTCCAAATTGTATTTCTTTAGTGAAGCTTTGGCTTAATCAAGTCTAATGTTATTTGGCTACTAATAAAGTTATATTGCAAAACCAATCACATGTAACTAATGTAGGGAGGCAGCAAGAGAACTAAATTAAATCAAGCTATATGCAAAGTCTACAATGTGCTAATCAGCCCTAGGGCCAGGCCACGAGGACACCGGCAGAACAAAGGAAGATTTCTGGTGGAATTACTAATAAACCATTTAGGCATACTTTGAGGGGAAAACAGGAAAAGAGTCTTTAAGTCGCACCCTACATAAAATAAACACAATCATTCATTCCCTACAGCTAAAACCACGGGGAACCTATGGATCAAAGGCTGGGAACTGCCAACAGGACTTTCCCTCTATATTCTTACTTTTTCATGGTACATGTTCTTACTTTTCACACAGTATACACATACCATCAAAGGAAAATGGGTAAACAAAGTCTTTTAAACTGTAATTCATAGTAACTAAGCATGATATATAAATTGAATTCCACGAACACTCGGGGCTTTTTTTCTTTGCTTTTTGTCCTTGCTTCTAGTCTTTGCTTTTTCTGTCTTGGTCTTTTCTCTGTCCTTCCCTAATAAACTTTCTTTTTAACTTTAACTCTGGCGTGCACTTGAATTCTTTTCTGTGCTCAGTCAAGAACCCTTTTCTCTCAGTGCAGGGTCACTGTGGGAATTTGCTGTGTCCTGCATCATAACCAGCACTCTCCTATACATCATTTTGCAGCTTGCTTTTTAACTCAGCACTGGTTTTGCCATTTATCCATGCCGGTAGATGTCCTGGAGATTTACTCTTAAGAAAGCAAAGTGTCAGCTACCTGGGCTATCTCACCCCTCAGGCATGCACTCAGCAGAGGTTTTGTTGTAGATCGCCCTTTCAGCCTGCACCAAAGAAAGTAACAGAGAAAGAACAAAGGGAAAAAGAAAAAGTTTGGAGACTGGACACTTGGCTTTCAGTAGGGGCTTTGAAATTTGGTTTTCAAGGCCAAGTGAGGTCAAAGGACACTGGACTTAAGAAGCCACCATGTATTGGAGGGCAGCCTATTTATTTAACAAACCTAAATTGGAAGCACACTTTCTTAGCTGTGAGGAACCAGACAGGTAAGTAAATGGATAGACTGTGGATAGGTAGAATTTCTTCCTTCTATTTTCTCTTATTCAAATGTGTGTCTCTGTCTAATCTTCCTCTCCCATTTTCTATCTCTTTGTCTTTCTCTCTCTCTCTCTCTCTCTTTATGCCTACAGCACCCTGGTCTTCCTAGGTGGTCTCCCATCCAAGTACTAATCAGGCCTGATGCTGCTTAGCTTCAGAGATCCGACAGGATCAGGAGTGTTCAGGGTGGTATGGCTGTAGACTGTCTTACTCTTAAAGGATTTTTCCAAAAAACAACATAAACATCCTCTTTAGAGCTATAGAAATAAATACCAGGACACAAGCGTTAAAAGCTGTTGCATCTGAGGAGCATGACTGGGTGGAAGGAGGGAAGTGGGAAGACAGGGGAGCTGTAACTTTCACTCTAAAACTCTATACATTACTTTTTTTTTTTTTTTTTTTTAGCTATTTGCCTTTAGTCTAGTAAAAATGAAAAAAGAAAAAAAAAAGAAAAAAGAGTCAATCAACCATGTAGTGTAACTTCCATGAAAAACCATAGCTCAGATTTCAAGTTAAAAAACATTTCATTCTCATCAGATTCTTGGGGAAGAAAGAGGAAGAAGAATGTTGTCAGAAAGTAAAACTATGGGTCGCTTTTCAGAAATATGCAGTGATATTTTGCAGTTTTATTCTTACAAATTGAGTGGATTTGCTTTGCCATCAGATGTGTCAAGTGTGCTCAGTGTGCGAGCAGTCCATAAGTGCTTTCTCATATCTCGCTTCCTCTCATCTTCACCACCACACCCTTTTCCAGATAGGAGCTGAGACTGAAGTGAAATGACTTGCCCAAGGTTACCCAGGTAGGGAGGAGGTGGAGTGCTTTCTGTCTTTGTCACAGGGTTTTCCTCTGTCGATGTTAGTTCGAGTCATCAACAAAAGGCCAAACGGGGTTCAGGGTATCTTACTTTAGAAGGAACATCTCTGTGGTAGTGGTACATGCTATGGAGAGCCAAGGGATTCTCTAGAATGAATCATCAGGGCCCAAAGTTAAGAATAAGCATCCCAAGTTCTCTGCATCCTAAGACCAGAGAAGCAGCCCTCTTCCCCATGGACCACTGAGAGATGCCTTTTCAACAGAACCAAGAAGAGCTTGTCTTTTTGAGAGAGTGCAGCTGAGACGGGGACCCCAAGAGAATCTTCTCATTCCCAGTTGGATGTTCTCTGGGCCTCCAGGCTAGTTTAATGGCCAAGGTGCCACCAGAGAGGGGAGAGGAGTTCTGGGGAGTGACGGTGGGGAGTGCAGGCAGTGAGGAATGTGCAATGGCTGTACATTTGGGCCCTGGAAAGGTATTCAAGCTGAATCCCACCTGTGTCGGCAGGCCTGGAATAGATAAGATTGTGTGGTGCAGGATAGCTGAGAGCTACTGAAGCATGGGACAAAAAGTGTTTGCATGAGAGGATGCTGGCAGTCAGCTCGACGACACAGCTGGATCTCCCAAGGGCCCACAAGGAACCTCTCAAAGGCCAGGGTCTCAGGGGCCAAGGATAAGAATCTTTACCCAACACCACAAGCTAGCTCAGCAGGCATGGCCCACTGATGGGAGAGTTCCTGTGGGAAGCTGTCCCTATCTTTAGTCCATGATTCTACACCAGGGAAGAAAGCACAGGGGAGGGGTACTGAGGGATCTGAGGCAGCCCCACCTCTCTCTACTCCCTTTACTGGGATAAAGGAGAGAGGTTTGAGTCAAATACTGAAGTTTTAAAATAAGCACGACCAAATTTTTGTAACTAAAATTAGTCTGCTTGGCAACCAAAAGTAACTTAAAATTTTTGGAATTGGACTAAAACGTCATCAAGGGAGGCCACGCCCCCTCGGAACAAAACGGGAGCCCAGGCAACAGTAATTGTTAGAAACAAATTATATTCACTTCCTATGGCTGCTCTAACAAATTACCACAAACGACAAATACCTTAAAACAACACAAGTGTGTTTTCTTACAGTTCTGGAGGTCAGAGTCTTAACGATGCCACTGGGCTGAAAATGAAAGTGTGGGCAGGGCTGTGTCCCCTTCTGGAGGCTCCACTGGAAAAACTATTTCCTTGTTCTTATCAGCTCTCAGAGGCCACTCATGTTCCATGGTTCCTGGCATCTTTCTGACATACGAAGGCTCTCAAGGCAGGACTCAGACTTAGGGATAACACAGGGCCCTGTGAGCCAGAGTGGGGACCCACAGTCCAGGATAGACCAGGATAGGGTAAGATGCCATGTGTGGACCAGAGCTGGTCCAATCCCAAACCATATGTCAGCAGGTCCCAGGGAACAGAGGGTGGGGGGTATGAGGAACTGAGTCCACAGGTACAGGTGTAGGGGATCCAACTGTCGGGAGGAGGTCAGGGAGCTGCAGGGCCCAACCTCGGTTCCTGTCAATTGCGGGAACATTTGGTGGACACAATGAACAGAAGAAGGAAGAGTAAGAAGAACTGTGGGAGCTCTCTTTAGTTATTAGTTATCGAGTTCCTTGGATGTGTCAGGCCCTGCGCCAAGAACTTGAAGAATATCGGAAGTTCCCAGCCCTGCCTGAACCTTGGAATCACCTGAGGAGCTAGAAAAACTGCTGCTGTCTGCACTACATCAGAGACTCTGATTTAATTGACTTAGGATAGGGCCTGGCCATTGGGGTTTTCTTTGTTTATTTTTAATAAAGTTCTCCAGCTGATTCTAGTATGAGGCCAAGATTGAGAGCCAGTGACATACATGTTATCACTTAATCCTCACTATAACCTTTTTGGCGGCTATGGTTACCCCCTTTTACAGATGAAA